ATGATGATAGTGGTGGTGATGGTGATGATGATAGTGGTGGTGATGGTGATGATGATAGTGGTGGTGATGGTGATGATGATGATAGTGGTGGTGATGGTGATGATGATAGTGGTGGTGATGATGATGATGATGATAGTGGTGGTGATGGTGATGATGATGATAGTGGTGGTGATGGTGATGATGATGATAGTGGTGGTGATGGTGATGATGATAGTGGTGGTGATGGTGATGACGATGATGATGATAGTGGTGGTGATGGTGATGATGATGATGATAGTGGTGGTGATGGTGATGATGATAGTGGTGGTGATGGTGATGATGATGATAGTGGTGGTGATGGTGATGATGATAGTGGTGGTGATGATGATGATAGTGGTGGTGATGATGATGATAGTGGTGGTGATGGTGATGATGATAGTGGTGGTGATGGTGATAATGATGATAGTGGTGGTGATGATGATGATTATGATGATGGTGATGATAGTGGTGGTGATGGTGATGATGATGGTGGTGATGATGATGATAGTGGTGGTGATGGTGATAATGATGATGGTGGTGATGATGATGATGATGGTGATGATGATGATGATGATGATGATAGTGGTGATGGTGGTGATGATGATGATGATGGTGATGATGATGATGATGAGGATGATGATGATGATAGTGGTGGTGATGGTGATGATGATAGTGGTGGTGATGATGATGATGGTGGTGATGGTGATAATGATGATAGTGGTGGTGATGGTGATGATGATAGTGGTGGTGATGGTGATGATGATAGTGGTGGTGATGATGTTGATTATGATGATGATGATGATAGTGGTGGTGATGGTGATGATGATGATGATAGTGGTGGTGATGGTGATAATGATGATGGTGGTGATGATGATGATTATGATGATGATGATAGTGGTGGTGATGGTGATGATGATGATGATAGTGGTGGTGATGATGATAATGATAAGAATGATCATAATATAGTAATAATAATAATAATATAAATTTTAACAATAATGATAATAATAATATTGATTAGAACAAGGGTGATAATAGCAATAATAACAATGCGGCAGGTGTTCCTCTCCACTCCAACCTTGACCCCAGCTGATGCAGAACAGGCGCTCTTGGTCTCCTCCCGGGCCACAGTCCTTAGAATATCAGCCGTGAGTTGATCGATCGTATTCGTGTGGATTTCATGCCTCTAGCAGCTCGAAAGTAATAAAGAAATAACCACAGAGGGCGTCCGGACCAACCTAAGACTTGCAACAGAAAAAGCTAAAAAAAAAAAAAGCTTATGAGAGGCAGAACCAAGGGAAGGATCGGTCACGCACCTGCTCCTCGAGGGTCTCCCCTTGTCTCTTCCTCGGGGAGTCGGGAGACTGGCTTCTGCTGCGCTCCAAGGACATGCTGTCTGCCGGAACACCGATGGAAAAGAGTGTAATCGATTCCAGTGGATCCTTTTGGAGGCAATTCAATTCTATGAAATCAAACAGTCATGGCTATGAATTAGAAGTAAGTAAGTAAGATTTTTTTTATGTTATATGAATAAATGCTGAAGTGTTCTCAATAGCAATAGTGTAATTGAGAATAATATTTCTATAGATTTTGATATGACTGTTAAAAAGTGCAAGTCAAGGATTGAGTTGAAGATTTGTAGGAATCAAGACATTTATTGACTAAATAATGATTCATGTAGTGTGACCAAATTATAGTACCAATGTTTATGTGAAATAGCAATCAGGTAAAGCATTGATTGGGATCTTGACACTCCAGCAATATGACGAGTTTTCAAATATCTCGTAAAAAATGTTTTACAACTAGATCGTTATGACTAACACATATTTTTGCTCTGGGTAAGCAAAACTAACAGGCATTCAAAACTACGGTATTTCTTGTTGAGGAAAAGATGGAAAATCATATAACTAGATAATGATAATCACAAAAGCGAACAATCAATCAAGACAGACATTGAAATGAAACTGGTGATGAAATTTTGTTTCACCAGAAAATGATATTGATTTATCTTACGTTATTGAGGAAACAGATATTTTTTTTACTGAGCGAGAAATTATTGTCTTTAAATTTGACGGTCTTTTCTTTATATGTTTACTTTCTTGATAAATTGAACAGTTGTTGCTATTAACTTATACTTTCATTGAATACTACACTCATGTTACAATTTAGTTTCATCCTGTGGTCTTTTAAAGGACTTAGGGAAGAAATTCTGACGGCATGGTTGTGATACGTCGTTGTGTTTGAATTGTCGCAATTGTTCATGGCTTAAGTGTTGGTTTTATTACAAACTTCATGTTTATTACGTAAGTTTTAGTAGATACAAGTAAATTCTTTTGATCATTTTCATAATACAATTTTCCATTATAAGGGACCCCCTAGAGAGTAAATAAAATGTTTTAGAAATTGATTCGATTAAGCTCAAGGAATCGTATTGGTGTTGGGAGGAGGGGGAGATCGTGGGGTGGACCGCGACCAAGACATT